TTTCAACTTAGTAACATTTAATATATGAGTAGCATAAACTACTCACTACAGGGCCTGCCACAGCATCTTTACGGAATTTAGATAGAACTTTGACTTTACTATTCTAAAACTCTGAATTTGTTCTTTATCTATTCTCCTACTGACTTGCTTGTATGTTTGTGATGCACATGCACATTGCAACACAATGCACTTTGCTTCAGTTTCAGCTGACAGATTTCCTTTGAAATTCCCTGCATGCCCCAGATTTAGGAAAAAAAGCTTCTCCTTCCAGTTTTACTTATCCCAAATAATTAAATCCTAAACTGTAGGTAATCCTAATAAGCATTTGTAAGCTACAATTTGAAACTGTATAGCTTCTATAAGCCTACTGTTGAGACTAAGCACATTTTAGTTCAGATATGCTTACCTGCAGTTACTTAAGTATGAACACCAAAATCACTTCTTCTAGTGACTATGGCAATATTATCTTAATAATCCTTGAATACAATTCTGAAAAAGTAAGATCTTCTATAAAGGTATTGTACTATTAAATGTCATCAGAAGGCAAACAAAACTTTTACATTTTAAAATGTTTGCTTTCTAATATAATTCATAAGTTCTTGTTCTATGCATATGAGCTGCACATAAAAAAGGCAGAATTTCCATCACATCATCGTAGTAGTTATCTTGACGTTTTTGACCATATCCTACAGACACACCTAGTAATGCATATATAGTATTCTAACATATTTTAAACAAACCCCAAGTTCCACATATACTCACTATTCTACCTTACATACTTTAATGAAAGACCGACTCACTGCCACAATATGGAGAACTACTATAAGTACAGTATTTACAGCTAGTTCAGAGGCAGACTGTATTCAAATTAAGCCTCCATAGAACAATCAATTAATAGGAAAACGAGCAAGACATTTGGTCACTATAAGGAACAAGTTACATTCATTCCAATATCTCAATACCTTTATATTGAAAATTCAGACCCAAATTCTCATTGATGTACCTTATGTACAACTAATTCCATTGGCTACTAGGCAGCCATTATGGATGAATCACTATCATTCAATAGCTTTTTTGTTTATTACCGGTATTATAGACAGAAGTTCTATAGAAACTTATAGAAATATAAACTTATTATATTTTTGGAATTATCCAGATAGCATACCTTTGTATATGGCAATTTATACAGCTTTTCAAAAAAGCAAAGATTCCCTTGAATCAAATGTGTTGCAGCTATCAGTGGGGACTTGGGCTGCATCAACAGAAGTGTAATACAAAGATGAGGGTACATGATAGTACTGATCTATACCTCAATGATGAAGCCACATTTGGAAGACTATATGCAGTTCTGGTCACCACAATGTGAAAAAGGCTCTTCTCTGTTGCAGAGAAGAGCAACAAAGATAATAATGGGTCTGGAGGCTATATATATATATTATTTTGATTTATATGCCGCCCTTCTCCGGAGACTCAGGGCGGCTTACAAGGCGTTAAGCAATAGCCTTCATACTTTTGTATATTTTATACGAAGTCAGCTTATTGCCCCCACAAACTGGGTCCTATATCCTTTGAAAAACAGCTAAAGGTACTAGGAATGTTTAGCTTAAGAAAGAGAAGACTGAGGGGAGAAATGCCAGCAGTCTTCCAATACTTGAAGGCTTGCCACAAGAAAGAAGGCATCAATTTATTCTCCATTGCACCTGAGGGCAAGACAACAAGCAGTGAGTGAATGCACATCAGATCCAACCTGAAATAAGGAGGAACTTCCTGACAATGAGAACTATTAAACAATGGAACAGCTTGCCTCCTGGAGTTGTGGGTGCTCCATTGTTGAAGGTATTTAAGAAAACACTGAACAGCCATTTGCTCAAGCTGGTATAATGATTCCTGCCTTGAGCAGAAGGTTGGACTCAAAGCCTACGATTCTATGAAGCTCAATGTGGTGTCTATGCAATTTTATTGGTAGCGATATGAAACTGGTCTGCCACTCTTTTATTCTGTTAACTGTTGTTTGAAATTCCCAATTTGTTCTAATATTTTGAGATTTTTCTGGTCGTCTTCTGTTTATTGTTTATATAATAAATATTCATACTAAAAGTCTAACCCCCTTCTTAGCTTTTTGGGGTTAGCCATAGTTGATTATTCTGCCATTTGTCAGCAGTTCATTCATCAAGTCACTACCACTTAAGAAATTAACCTTTCTCTGTACTTAGCTCTTCAGTGCTTTTTTGACATTCTTGCTTCAGGCCATCCATAGTTCCTGGGTTTTACAGTCATATCTCTAACAATCAACAGTGATTATTTCTTTATAAGGGCAACAAATGGCTTTTACTTCCAAGAAGAGCTGAGACTGGTAAATGCAACCAAACTGATTGGTGGCTACATAAAACTGGAGGCCACTTTTGCAGAGTTCAGAGCCATTCATTGCCATCCTTCTCACTGTAGGAACCCCAAATGTCCTTTTCCAATATTTCCATAGATACTCCCCAGTCTCACAGAATGTGACCTTAAGACAACCATTTGAACCTGGCTTCTCCTAGAAACTAGAAGTTGCATGCAAAACTATCATTTTACCAAAGTAACTGCATCAAGAGCTGAGCTTCTCACATTTCTTTTCCTTTCTTTCTTTTTCTGGCTGTGGTCACTGTCTTCAGAAGATGTGCAATTGACCTCACTTGGCTCTTTCTCACTCATGCTTCCAGCTTTGTTTGTGAGTTTTGTCTACTCTCTGTAACCTATCTAGCCTGTTTAGCACTGAAAGTGGTGGCCTTTTGTTGTGCTTGCACATGAAGCTGTAAAAATCCACAATCAGCCTATTATATTTCATTCATTAGATTTACAGACCACCCAATTCCATTGCAACATACAACAGAAAAGAGTGAAATGCAATCCCCTCCCATACACCTAGTAAAAAACAACAGAATCCAAATGAGGAATCATCCATCAATGGGTTAACCACCCACTCTCTGCCAAGCTTCAGGGAAGGAACAGGTTTTAAGGATTTGTTTAAATAAGATAAGGGTGGGAACTAAACAGATCTCTAGGTAAATGGAAATCCTCTGTCCTTCCAGAAAAAAAGTGCATCAACAAAAAAGCCCATCTCCTAGATCAATGAGGTGACCTTATTTGATCAACTAATCCTAGAATAAGATGACTTTCCAGTTTGTATAGAATGGGAACAATTATGGAAGATATTCTATCAGTAACTAGACCTTTCACATGAGGGATTTTATAGATGATAATCAGATCCTAAAATTGCACTCAGAACCCTACTGGTAACTGATGCAACTCACAAAGCAAGGGGGCTAAATGGGCTTGCTGTGACATGTCCATAATTGCCTGTGCAACTGTGGTCTGGATCAGCTAAACCTTCCAAGTGGTCTTCAAAGGTAACTCTATGTAGAAAGATATATAGTAGTTCAATGAGAGATGACCAAAGCATGAGTGACCATTTTAAGAGACTTCTGGTAAGACATGGTGCAAATGACACTAGATCAGCTTATACAATGGCCACAGTTCCTGGCCACAACTGGTGTCTGCTCTTGAAGATATCAAATTGTACACATATCTTGAAGGGGAACTACAGCCCTAATCAAGAGCAGAGATTGAGAATTTCCAGACTCAAAAAATAAATCATGTTAGAGTTGAATCTGAATTTGACATTCCCCATCCAGAGACACATTGTCCCCACGTACTGGGATAAGAGCTTGACAAGATCCTCATCAGTCCATGGTACAGATGAACACCAATGTCCATTCAAAACCCTTTCCCAATGCCCTTGAACAGTGATTCTTTAGTTAGAGGAAATTACCATTAAGGGGGTTGTTTGGATATATTCTGGGGAGTACAATTTGCAATTGCTCATTTGTGAGTTGAGGATCCATTTGGTGATAGCTATTGCAGAGATGCTTGTATAAAGTAAGAGAGTTAAGAGAGGGGAGGAAAAAGACATTGTTTCAGACTAGAAAAGAGGAAATTGGATCAACACAGTTTAAGGACAACTGCCCTAGACAATGACCAATGTGCCTGTATGCAGCCACAGAGGTACTATTCACAATGAACATCTCTTTATCTAGAACCAGCTCTAAGAAGACCTCAATTTCCTTGGCCCACTGTAGGCCCCAATCCTAGCAGACATGGCATATGTGAAGCCTAAAGCAGGAGGGTTGGCTTCAGAAACTGACCAATCACATGACGAGGGGAGCAGCGGTCCCTGGTGAAACCCTTTCATGGTACTTCATCAAAGATTGTGATTAAAAAAAACCATAGGAGCAGGTCAACTGCAGTAATTGCATATGTGGTTGCATAGACTGAAAACAGTGGTAGGCTTCTAAGACTTGTGGGAGTAAGAAACAGGTCCCTTGAGGGTGACATATATGTGCATGGATGTTTACAAATAGTGACTGGGAACAGCTACATTAGTACATTGGTTGGGCATTATGTTGTGGCCAGATGATAGAAAAGACAGTTCATACACTCAGAGCAGGTGTGCACCAAAGGCCTGATGTGGGAGCATGCTGGAAACATGGACAGTTACCAGAGGTGGCCCATGAGGATTACACGGAAAGTGGCAATTAGATTTGGCCTATGTGAAATTAAGGGAAAAGAACAGCTGCAGAGGAGAATTTTAGCAGCTGCTACATGTGTTCTGAGTTGGGTCTAATTTGAAGTAGATTTCACAAATTCTCCCCTTCTGTAACAAATGGCAAACATGGAGCACACACCTCTGCACCCTTAGGGCAACCTTGGTTTCACCAGTCAACATTTCAGGTAATGAAGCATAAAATCTGCCTTTCAGCTGGGCAACACATTTACTGCATCGAAGTCTTTGCAAAGGAAGACCAAGATCACTCGAAAATGTAGGGCTGCATTTAATGCAGGGACAGAGCCTTCCCATCCCTTTCCACTCTCAAGAGAACCAAATTCATTTAAAAAACAAAACGTGCCACAAAAAATGGGCAGGGCTTTCCTCTAGAAACAATACAACCAGAAGCACTTACTTTTACTGACTGCTGCCTCTTGCTGGAAACGGCGGACTTTTAACTCCTCCAAATCACCACAGGAAACTTATTTCCCGAATTATTTCCCATCCGCTCAGTTGAGAAAAGCTTCGGAGAAAGGAGCCATCCCTTTGCTTCGGAGACGAGCTGCCCAGGCATGGAGGCTCAGGTGGCACTCGGGCGAGAATCCGCTTGCGATCTGTGGCTATCTCAAAACTAGGAGAGGACGGGTTCTTTAGAGACCCATCGGGAATTACGGCGGAGGGGTCGGAATATTTCCCTGCGCACATCCAAACACAGAGAAGAACAAAGCTTCAGCTTGTGGAGGGGGAATAGAAAGGAGAAAAGCCAGAGGCTGCTCAGATCCTCTTCCCAGCAGCGCCAGATCCTCGTAAAAGGAGCCAGAATAGCCCGTTCTAGAGTCGCCAGTGGCCGCGACGCTTCTTCCCCTGGCTGCCCAGTCTAGAGGCGATGTCCATGCCTGCAGGCGTAATCCTGGAACTAACGCGCCAAGCCGCTCGGTATCTTCCGCCGTTCCCCCCCTCCCTCCTCCTCCTTTTTTTTTCTTTTTTCTTTTCCCAATGCCGCCCCCCTGATCAGCAGCAGGGGAATCTGGCCGCTCAGCAGCGTGTTGCTTTGAAACGACCGAGTTGCTGCAGGTGGAGCGGACGCCGAGAAAGACGGATCCGGAAAGCTCAAGAAGAGGGGGCTTTCCCCAGTGGCCTGTTGGGAAGGGGAGCGAAGATGCTGATGGGACGGAAGGAAGTTTTCGCGGTGCTGTCAATTAAAAGCCTTGGCGCCATTCATCGGGAAGCGACGGTTCTTCACGGAGCAGCTCCTTTCTGCAGCCCTTCGTTGTCTCTTTCTCAGTGTTATCTGAAATTAGCCGCCCGCTTCTCTGAAGCTGCACGCTCGCAAGATTTCGCCTTCATCCCTTCTTATTATGAGGGCACTGATTCGTCCAGTCTCCTCTCTTCCTTGCTTCTAGAGGCAGATCGTCGAAACCGAAGCACACCGCAAGGAGGTGATTAATTAATATGCGAATCACTAAGTTAGAATAAAACAAGAGGGGCGGAAATCTGTCATGATATGAGTGAGCTACCGCACAGCTAATAGAAATTCTAGGAATGAGAGCGAGGCAAACCCTAAAGTTCTACTTGGAATTAATAAACATGTGTTGCTTAAATTCTCGTCCACTTTTCACGCTGGAGAGCCGGAAAGAACATTTTTAGAAGTCTTGCTATTCATATTTTTCTTACCCTCATCAGCACCGAATTACTTTTGTTTTTAAGAATGAGTTTCGGTGCAAATTAAAATGTTGGGACTACGTTATCAACAGCAGCATCCAAGAAGTTATTTCCAGCGATAATGTACCCGGAAACAAGTAAATCCCAGAGATTTTATAAGATTTATCTTCAGATAACTACGAAAAGCTGCGAAATCAGCTGAGAACGTGCCACGAATGTGCAGTTTCAAGCTTCACCTTCAGGCCACTTGGAAAAATCAATCTCGGGTATATTTACCCCGATCACTCCCCAACTGAATGCTAAAATCTAAATCACAATAAAACTGGCTAAAAACTTAACGTTTCTTTTGATGTTTATATAACGGAAGCGAGGGATCTGAGGATGTGACAGAGTTTAAGTGCTACACTCACCGTCCAGCTCGATCACATCTTCAGTCAGAAGTAATAGAAGCAAAAAGGTGTTTTGATTCCACACCATTCTTTAAGGAACTTCCATGCCTCATTTACTTAAAATTCTGTGTTCTTTCCTGAAGTCAATAGAGCGGGGATTGCTTTACGCCTGAAAACAGGGCTAGACTCTATCAAGCGAGCAAAGTCTAAGGGAGTTAATATTACATTTAATTCACCCTGTCACAATGGCCCATCTGACATGAAAAAGCGGTAGCAAATAAGCCGGTCAGAATGGGGGAGGTGAAGTTCATTTTTCGCCTGGTGACAATAAATAATGGAGCTAAATGTTCTCGAACCGGTTTACCCCCAAATTGCAATAAATCCCGCAATATGACCTACATCTCGCGTCGGAAGATTCCGCTAGCCCTGGAAAAGGACAGCGGTATAAATTCTAGCGAGGGGGTGGAGCAGAAGGGTTATCTTCGTTCTGATTGGTGGCCGCGAGTAACGTCACGCTTCCAGACCTCCCTGCTTGCTTATTCTAACCGCATCTCCCCCTCCCACCCCCGCTTATCACTATAGAAAAGGGAGGAAGCGGGAAGGGAGGCGTCTTGTTGGTCTCCAGCGAGTTTTGTGTTTCTAATTAAAAGACTACTGGTTAGAAACCGTCTACACGAATAAGAGGCAGGCAGAGAGGCAACCACGGTGCCCCACGTTCTTCAGGCGGCTCAGGGAAGAAATGGGCTTCAGTTCAACAGGGCAGGGCCATGAACGGGGAAAGTAACAATGCGCCTTTTCAAGGGCCCCGGGATGGAAAAAAGGAATTAAGCAGCGCCCAAAGCCAAACTGCCTACGGTCTTGTTTATGGGAAGACCTAGTCATTATCCTCGTGGCGGGACTTACCGCGAAGGCAGCTTCTATCCGCCAAAATAGATGAAGAGGGAATATATCTAGTTGCTCGTGGAGGGGAGGATACCTTGCGGTATCTCTCTCACCCTGGTTTTCCATTATGGATTAAGTGGCCCTTTAATCCACGGTTTGGTCCTTAAAAAATGCTGATAATTGTAATCCATGTTGTCAAAAGGGCGTCATGTTTTTGAAAGCTGGAAGGAAAAACGAGAAAGTTGTAATTATTAGATAACACTATTGTGTTGTTTTGTTATATAAATAGGACGCCAGACTTGTTTGTGAGATTTCCTTTCAATTTCAGCCCTTCTGGCCAGCTATTTAAACAGACTTAAGACAGCACTTTATAGTTCCCCTAGGGCTAGGGAACCAAATGCTCCACACCAAATGCAGCAAACAGGCAAGGTTGTACAACCTGGAGTTAGGTTGCTGCTTCCAGAAGTCACAGTTGATCCCTCCTCCACTTCCTTCCACAGGTGGTCTTCACTGATCTGAGACTGATGCTGTCCTCTTCCCCCATTGTGTTTCCCATAAAAATGTGAGACTTTTGTGTAATTTGGGTAGAATGAGTAGAAAGTACTACTTTCTACTAGTACTAGTAGAAAGAGTTTTGAGAATTCTAACACTATCTTTTTCACAGCCATGATAAAATACTTTTCTTCTAGCTTCAAATCCTATATGCTGGAGCGATGAGGTCAGAGAAAGCTGCTCTTTAGGGACACTTACTCTGCCTGCGGGCCAGATGCATCATATGCTGAAGGGGGGAAAAGTCTGGATATGTCACATGATGCCCCGTGGTGACGTGAGTTTGACACCCCTGATCTACATGTACATCACATCCATTGCATACATGTAAAAAGGGGTCAAAGGACATCAATCACCCGCTTGTGTTCATCAATTTTGAAGCCAGAAATTGTTACTACAGTTATACTTTATGCTGTTCTTACAGTTTTAATCTGTAGAGTTGCGGTGGCGCAGTGGTTAGAGTGCAGTACTACAGGCTACTTCTGCTGATCACCAGCTGCCAGCAGTTTGGCAGGTCGAATCTCACCAGGCTCAAGGTTGACTCAGCCTTCCATCCTCCTGAGGTTGGTAAAATGAGGACCCAGATTGTTAGGGGCAATGCTGACTCTGGAAACCACTTAGAGAGGGCTGTAAAAGTACTATGAAGCGGTATATAAGTCTAAGTGCTATTGCTATTGCTATTAATATGGAACACGTTAAAAAAACTCAGTACATTTCCTTGGCTTCAAATGCTACCTTTTTAAAAAGTGGAATAGGATTTAGCCTAGGGAGAGGAAAGTTTTAACAGATGGCTAGAGTGGTGGGTTTGTTTAAGCATTTTGCAAAGAAAGATGTTGATAGGGCTATTTTGGAGTAGTATGGTCCAATTCAGGAAGAACTTTAACTTCTCAGCCCAAATGGAACATGGTGAACAGATGGGCTTCGAGTCAGCAAAAGAGTGAAATAAGGCTGTGTAATGTCTCCTTATTCAAATTAACATTGGAGGAAGAAATATCAATTTAACCTCTGCTGATGTAGCTAGTCTCAAAGCTGAAAAAGCAAATGATCTGCAAGTTCTAGAAATGAAAGTTGAGAATCATCATAAAAAATGGGACTAAAGTTGAATAAAACGAAGAGTAAACTAACGACAGTACAGCAAATAACCTTAGAGTTAATGATGGGATAGCTTCAGGGGTGGGTTCTAATTTTTTTACTACCGGATCTGTGGGTGTGGCTTATTTGTGGGTGTGGCTTGATGGTCATGTGACAATTATTTAGGATTTAGCAGAGGTACTGGTCTACCAGACTTTTAACTGCTTACAGAGCTGTACCCATTTATTTTTGCAGGCACTGATCTACTCATATATTTTTGCTGGCACTGGTCTACCCATTTATTTTGGCAGGCATTTGTTTTCTTTTAACACTGATCAGCTGTAGGGCGGCCCTTTGAAGCCCTGCAGCAAAAGTTTAAACAGTTTTTTTCCCTCTAGCCATCAGCTGGGATTCAGGAGGCAGCAATAGATTGGGGGTGAGGCCAAATAAAAGGTAAGAATAATGTGGGGGGGTGGGGGGTGGAGGGGCGGGGGGCAAAACCAGTTCGGTGACATCATATTGTCACCGCTACCAGCTCGGCAGAACCGGGCCAAACCAGGAGGAACCCACCACTGGATAGCTTCTGCCTTTCTAGCATTCCTTGCTGAGGAACAAATGACAGGCTTGAATTGTATTTTGGATCCATTATGTGAAGGCCCAATTCTCTTTTCTATAATGTTTGGAATGGTGAAAGGAAAGAGAAGATGTCAAGGACCAACAGAAAGGTAGATTGGCACAACTGCAACAATGATGAATATATTGTTAGAAGGCCTGAAGGCCAGATTAAGGACCGATCATCCTGGGTCTTTCTTTGAGGTTACAAATAGTCAAGACTAACTTGATACATAATCAAAATTAAGAAATAAGTGCAACCTTGAAAATATTTATCAAATCTCAGGTTTTTCAAATGTGTTACAATGCAAAAATCTAAAGAAAGGAAGCCATTCAAGATAATAAAATTATACCAAGAATATTATCAATTAGGCCAACAAATCATTTAATCCCAACGTTTGGTATTCTACAGGACCCAACCAGCTGCATTAGGTAGCATGGGCAGCAATGTGTTATGTGTCTTCTGCTAGTATTTAAAATACGATGCAGAATTCAGAAGCTACCATCAAAAGCCAGTCTTCCATGAATTTGTCTAACCACCTTTTAAAACTTTTTAAATTAGCTATTACCTAAACTGATGGCAGCCAATTCCACAATTAAATTATATATTACGTAAGGAAGTATTTCCTTTTATCTGCTTTGACTCTTCATACCTTTAGTTGTAAAGGATATCCTAAAGTTCTTATATTGGATGAAAGTTACTAAAGTTAACATGCAATTCATATTTTTATGTTGTTTCATATACATCATTTCAATAATCCAGAGATAATCTGAGCATCTGAAAATAATCACATCATTTTGAACATTCTAGATCAGGGGTGTCAAACTCACAGCCAACAGGCTGGATCCAGCCCACAGGGTACTTGGATCTGGCCTGTGGGATTGTCCTGGAAACGAAGGATCAGTGCTGCTGCTAGCAAAAATGGATCTTGGGAGGACCGCACGCAGCTCCCCTGAGCTATGTTTTCACTGTCAGAGAGTCGCAAGAGGCTGTCGCAGCCGAAAACTGAGCTCGGGAGCCCGTTTTCGCTGGCAGAGCGCTCAGGACACCACAACCACCCCCAACTTGAGTGACGTCGAGCTGGCCACCGCCACCCTGGTCCCCCAAGGTCAAATACAACCCTGATTCAGCCCTCAATGAAATTGAGTTTGACACCCTGTTCTAGATCAATATGCACGCCCTGAAAAAACTCCATAACTTCAATTTGCTTTGGAAAAAAAATTGAGCCTTTTTGTTTGTTTTTCCAATAAAGGAGAATATTTGGAACTCGGGGTGAAAATGAGCAGGCCTTGATGCTCTCTGAGTTTGATAGTTTTCTTGCTGACATTTCATTACCCAAATAGCACTGATGATATTTCCTAGTTTGTGTAATGAAACGTCGGCAAGAAAATAACCAAGCTCAAAGACCACCAAGAACCCCTGTTTTTTTTCCTTGTCCCTTAGTACACTATAATAGAGAATGGCAAGTGCTTTTAAGGATGAAATATGTAGCTATACAGAAACATTATTTTAAATGTGATGTGGTTTTATGACATTCACAAAATAATCCATTCCAATTATAATTTTAAATTATATTGCTACTTGTTTCATATATATGTTGCTAGATAAATAATCCCAAAATTCTATCATAAACTCACTTAAAGATAAAACATATTTGCAACATATAAACTAATTAGTTGAATTTGCACTTAATATTAAACCTTGATCAATGGCTTATTCACAACCCATTTTTCATAATTCACAAATACCGTGTTTCCCCGAAAATAAGACTGGGTCTTATTTTCTTTTGGGTCCCAAAATAGGCACTAGGGCTTATTTTCAGGGAGTATCTTATTTTTTTTCCCCATGTACAGGAGGCCCAGTTCTTCTGCTTGCTCACGGTGGGGCAGGAGGCTGGCTGTGAGGCTCTTAAGTGGGGCTTCTTTTGAGGGTAGGACTTACATTAGACACATACATAAAAACCATGCTAGGGCTTATTTTCAGGATAGGTCTTATTTTCAGGGAAACGGTATAATGTATAATTATAATGGATAATGGATTCATATTATACAAAATATTTCTTATGTTGTGAAGTTTTTTATAATTGTGTGTGTATATATAATAAATATATACAAACATAAAATAAAGTGATTATTAATAATAATTAGATACAAATAGTGGTTAGAATGCACTACTTCAGCTGACTGCTAACTGCAGTTCAGCAGTTCAAATCTCACCGGCTCAAGGTTGACTCAGCCTTCCATCCTTCCGAGGTGGGTAAAATGAGGACCCACATTGTTGGGGGCAATATGCTGATTCTGTAAACCGCTT